ATACGCGCACACGCACTTACATACACGCAATTGTACAAACACTTAAGCACAAACCAACATACACCATCACCTGCACATTCGCGCACCAGGACAAACGCAAAAACACACATACATGTGCATATACATACATCCCCCCGTCCGTCAATACATACATGCATTGTGTATGCAGATATGCATGTCACATCAAGTACAGTTTGTGCTTAAAACATACAAGTGCGTGATTAACATAAATGCACAGCAAGGCCAACACATCGTGACATGTATAAATGGGTTTTCAAGAAATGCACAAACGAACAGAACCATAAACACCACACTTGCATCAAGCAGCCAAGTAGTAGCTGAATCAAGAAATAGATAAGCAAGCAGAGCTCCGAGTCAGATGTATAGCGGGAGCCGAAGGAGTCAGATGAAGGCATGTATGCGACATGCCAAACTGCATGCGCCGATGCATCATCCTTCAACTCCCTTCCATCACTTTAGAATGCTCCCAAGTAGTAGTGTCGGCCCTGGTTTGGGGTTCAGCCCATACACTGCCATATGCGTAGTCCAGGTGTAAAAAGGTCTGTATGGGCTTCCCCGCAATCTTGGCTCCAAGGTGCCGCCTACGAGGGCCAATACATGTTGGGGTCCCAGGGGTAGTGAGAGGAGGGGGAGAGACAGAGAGAGGATGACAGGATTCATGCCGAGGGCGAAAGGATCACCAATGACCAAATTATGGAAAGTTGCTGTTTCCTGGAAGGGCCGTCATGCTTCGGGGCGTCTGAAGTTAGCATCCGATATTGGCAGCATGTAGCAGCGACCAGGGCCATGCAAGAACTTGTTGTGGCGTCATGTTGGAAGGAGGAGCAAACGATCAGAATGTAGCCGCAGCCTGTAAGTTATCACATGGCCAGTGGATGAGCGCAGCAGGGTTCGTTGCCACAGCTGCTCAGCAAGCCTACATCAACATCCAAACACGCCCAAGCTCTTATCTCCGAAGCATTGAGTCTCTCCCTGGTGGAATGCGCAGCCACAGAAGAGCAAAAAGCGAGCGCGTTGAGGCTGCGGCCGTGGCCGTGTGCCGGCAGGAATCATCAAGAAACTGTTCCGACACCCTGAGCCAGAGCAGATCTCTTGAAGTCGTTGACTTCAGCTTGGAGCCTTGTCAGCCGCTGAAGCCTGAAACTCAGGAGGGACGAAAAGCACGGCGCCGGAGTTTACACTTGGCCTGATGGCCGGAAGACCCGGAAGCTTGATGCAGGGGGAGTGACTTCTTTTCCTAAAGGGCACCCCCTTCAAAAAATTAGAGAATCGATGCGACTGGCCTCCCCGGAAAAGCGGTTTGGTAAGGAACCCTAGGCTTTTGGACCCAGCGTTATCCATATAGCCGGGTTTCCTTCCAAAAGGCCTGGGCCTTTAAAGCCTTGATACACTTTAACGCTACACAGGGCAGGATAGAGAATTTACAACGCTGAGGTTTAAGTTTCGAAAGTGTTGCCGGTTTGACGAGCCGTGCTGCTACATAGACTCGAATGTCCACACTGCGCATTACATGCCCAGGCTTTGCACTGGTCGCATGAATGAAAGTTCGCCGCAAGATCCTGCTACATTAGCAGCTGCGAGCCCGTACTCGGGCACGCTAGCAGATGGCTCGATAGAGTGCATGGTGCCACCTAGTTTCATGCTTCCTAGGCTGTCACTTATCTAGCTTTTGAAGGGAAGCACCCACTCTGCGATACGGAGACACTTGCCAGACGGAGATTAGTCCGAGCTATTTCTACCAACTGGGCTACGGGTTCAAGAAGCGAGGGCTCATGTCCTGCATCGCGACACAGCAGCGAAGCCGGTCGTGGAGCGAGCCATGGTTGGCAGGGTCTGTTCTGCTTCAGCACATTTTACACATGAAGAGTTGCATTCGTCGGTCAGACGATCGTGTCCATGTTGAAAAAACCCTTGCCCCGTCCCTCTCATCAATCATGAACTTTCTGTTTTCGCTTCCGACACCCTAAAGAATTACCAATATTATGATTCTTAGGGTTCCTGATTATAAGCATACTACAATATACCCCCCCAAACCCTAGTCTAATTTTTAAGGCCCCTTCCCTTGCAATCGGGTGTATATATATATATATGTATAGTATATGTAGTGCAGAGTCGAAGCTCGACGAGAGGCCGCGTCTACGAGGGCAAGTGGGAGGCGAACCTTCGGCACGGCCGCGGAGTCCTGTACTGCCCAGACGCTCAAGGGGGGCCCATCGAGAGGGTGGTATCGGTTTAGGCAGAAGGGTTTAGTAGACTTTTCTGTTCCACTTTGGAATTCAGATTGGAGTTAGATTCGGTTAAAATGTCAAGAAACGTCAGTTTCGATGCAGTCAAATCTACAAGCACGTTTGCTTCGACATGACTTTGGCCCAGTGCATCCTGCATGTATACCACAGATCCTCGGAGCAGGAGCTCCATGGAAAGAGCTCAGGCAGTGCAGAAAAGTAAGTAGAAAAGTCTCTCAAACTCAGTCAGCATACTCTTCATCAACTTCTGTGAGTTATGTTTGATTCTGGCATGTCCTAGTGTTAGATGATTCATTCACGTATCGACTGCCTTTCTTTTTGAAATCCGTCCCGTCCCATACTGAGATGTCGACGGCAGCTCGCTTAGTGGCACGTGGTGTCCCGTGCTCAGCTGCAGAGACGATACACGCAACACTCGGCTTGGCGGGACATGCGAGACTGGCGGACCATGTGCAGGAATTCTGGCCCCGAATCCGTGGTACAGTTCTAGAACTTTAAACCAAGCAGTGTTTGCTTGGCTGGCCTGGATCTTGTTCGTGTTCCTCCACGCAAAAGCATGTCTGAATGCTCGAGGCTTGAGGCCGAAACCAAACCGCACGAGCAACCGTGCAACCATGCTGTAATGCCAGCCGTGACAATCCCACAGCAGGCAGCCCCCGCTGTTTTCCCAACTGAAAGGCTTGCTGGAAGGCCTTATCCTCGCCAGCAACGCTCCGCAGCCGCAGGTCATGGAGAGCCGCCGCGGTGATGAGCTTTCCGTCTGCATGTCTCAGGTCCCGACTCCTGCAGGAGAGGTGAGGGCTGGCTTTGACCTTTTCTGGGTTCATGGAAGCCCTAACATTCGAAAAACCATGTAAAACCTTGCTTTCAGCCACCCCTGATCCTGCTGGTCACCTTCCTGGGTTCATGGAAGCCCTAACATTCGAAAAACCATGTAAAACCTTGCTTTCAGCCACCCCTGATCCTGCTGGTCACCTGCCAAGCTGCAGGCCTCAAGCCAAAGAGCCAAAGAGGGCTGCACAGAATCAGCTCCGCTGCACAAAGTCCGATGGAAAAAGCAGCGACTTCCGGAGTTCCTCTTTCGGAGGCTGAGGGCCGAGGGCGGTGGTGCCTTAGCGAATCTTCATCTCTCGTGAGTGCTTCGGCTTTGGGATCGGGTGAAGGCTCAAGTTGCAGGGCCCTTGTTGGTTGGAAGTTTAGTGATGCGACCCCAGAGCCTGAACTGAACCTTGGGTCCCGAACCAAGCAGCTCACAATGTTTAAGATTCCAGGGCTACGGGAGCATAGCCAGTACAAGGGCCTGCAGACTTTTAGCTGCATGCCTCTCCCAAGAGTTACTGGCAGACGTTGCCTGTAGAAGTTCATGCAGATGTGGGAAATGTCGGCTCAGCAATGAGTGGATGGTTGCGGGACACCGCAGAGTCAGTCAGGTTCATGAGTTCCAGCAAGCATGGGGAGACAGCAAGTGCTGAGTGGAGCGGTCTTCTTGGGCCGATGCTTCCAACTTACTGAGCATGGTCCCTGTCTACGTAGACCCAAATCCACGCCAGCAGCTGAAGGCTGAAACCCCCCCAAGGGCGCTAGACCAGCGTTGACAGGCCGTGCTTCAAGCAATCGATTTTCTGCACTGCGTTAGGAGTTGAAGGTTCCCTGGGCCCCCCCGGCCCACTGGTCACGGCAGCTTCATGTTGCAGCAGACATGGGCCTCGGAGGACGTCTGCAGGGAGATGGGAGTATTAACATGCAGTCCTATGAATCCGGGATTCGAGCCTTCGAGACTCGAAGGGCGGGGCTCACTGTCAGAGTTTCGTGCCAGGAACCTTGCCACACACCTACCGTCAAGTCTGTGCGCCAGTACATATCCCTCAAATGTAACAACGGTTGAGGTACCTCGGCATGGCGATAATTTGCATAAGCTATTGCTACAGTTAACCATGATTTCGATAAGGTTTGCTTTTTCTCTAAGGCATGCACGCAGCAAACTGCAGGCCAGAGCCCAAAGCCCATGCATGGTGTTCTGTTTGGTCGCCGTCCAGGATGCCATGCCAGCCGTGCACTCTGTATTGTCGAAAGATAGTTGGTCTTTGATGGCTTGTGATGTTTCAGCTTCTTCTTCTCGTCCAGAGTCTATTTCTGCTTTGGAAATGACCTTCGAAGTGTCGTTGTCTGCATTGCTATGTTTTCCGAACCTGCAAAGCCGCAAATGCAAAAAGCTTCTCTCGGCAGGAAGAGGCCGTTGGCAATTTCATCGCGCAGCTTCAGTTCACTCCGGAGGAGGGCGGGTCGCACAGTAAGTATCCTTGTGCAGCACTGGGCAGCTCGATATAGCTAAAGGATAGCAGGGCGGTTTCGGTTGGAAACGAGAGCTTTGCAAGATGGACATCCATGCCGCCGTCGTCAGCTTCTAGCAGGTTCAGGTCGATAGGACTGAAATGTGTGTTTCGATTGGGCCGGATGAACGTCCTCCGACCGGTCGTGGATGATCGGGTACTCGGGCACCTCTCCGGCAAGAGCTCGTGGAGGAACAGGCACCAGCGCTGGACTCAGACTCAGATTCTCGAGCCTTTGTGCCCGGCTTCCAGTGCCAGCCTCTTTGCCTTCGGAGCCGTCGTGGCCAGCCGGGCTGTCCATAGCAAGCGGCTTGGGGGAGTCACACCCCGTCGCCAAAGCCAAGGCCAGTGCCAGGGCTCCCTGGCCGACTTCCCACTGCCGGACGGCACACTCACGGAGTACATGATTGAACACACTGACCTCGTGAGCTGCTCCATCCCCTATGACCTCCCCGAGGCTCCAGTATCCTCCTTTGACAGTGTGGCGCACTTCGTTGATGTGCAGATCGCTGCTATCATAGAGATGCTCCGGGAGGATATGGGCTACGTGCTTGACACGTGCCGCACGTTGAAACCCGAGAAGCATCATGCACACTTGCAGTATTTCGGAACCTCCTTGGAGTGCTGTAACATAGCAGATGTGGGCGGAGGCTTGGCAACGATGCAGATGAAGCCACTGCCGCGGCGATTTCCTCCGGAAGATTCGAGGTCGATGTGGAGCAGGTTCATGCTCCTGGCGCAGTGCAAAGTTCCCGGTAAGAAGTCCAAACAAGTCAACGAAGTTGGCCTGGTCTTTTGCGAAACGATGAACCAGAAGGACGGACTGGTGCTGTGCGCTCCGGAGAGGGTGCTAAAGGAGCTGCAAAGTTACCTGCAGCAAGGTGCTTCTACCTATTTCCGGAAGCTACAGAGCTTTAACCGCCTGGTGACGGAGCCCGTGGCCATACTTCAGAACCTGCGCAGTGCACCTCCCACTGAGCTGTGCCGTGCACTATTCTTCGGCGTGATACCTGAGGGTTCCGAGAGGGATGTGGAGCTCTGTCAGCGCTTGGACGGCTGGGTGTCGCCGAACGCCTACGTGCCGATGATGTTCAACCAGCAGCAATGCCGCGCACTGGCACTTGAAGCGCTCACGGCCGCAGGGCCGGTCGTGGTGCAAGGGCCCCCAGGCCAGGAGAAGTCGTGTTGTTCTCTTTTAGACTTCCGTTGAGCATTGGCAGCAAGGGCAAGCCTTTGATGTTTTACGTTCGGGTAGATGCTTTTGTAAGGATGGTATTGGGTGGTTGATGCTCTGCAGAGCGACAGCACTCAATCACAGTGCGTACTCAAATGTAAGCTCTTGACATGGCTCGAGCTGTCTCGAATTCCTGCTAGGCTTTGCAGGGCCGAGCAAAGAAGTCAGACATTGGTAGCGTTCGTTCCTCCAGTCCCATGGCTCCGGTGACCATTAAGCATGTGTTGGCAAATGGATATCAAGTTTCTGCTTAGAGGAATGAATCTCTGGGTCTGGGGTTTGGGGGCTCGAGATAGGTGCAGCGGCAGGTTGTACTTCAATGCAGCTGAACGGTTGGGGTTGCTCGTGCTGCCTACAGACGCGCGGATCATGTTCCTAGCTGCTCATTCCAGTCGGTTTGCAGGCACCGGCAAGTCGCACTTGATAGCTCACGGGCTCCTTCCGCAGATCATCCAGCGCGGCGGTCGTGCATTGGTCTTGTGCAACAGCAATTCTGCGGTGGATACCATCGCAGAGAAAGTGTTAGATGTTGGCGGGTTCGTTTCCAACGGCGGCTATATCTCTGCCGAATCGAGGTGCGCTCTTTCGGAGAAAGGGCCAGTCAGTGTGGTCGCATGACGACCCAAGACACCACAGGCATGCCCTAACCTCCCAAAGAAACATCGATATTGTTTGGCGATGTTGAGCTGGCCGGTCTTGATACTTAAGAAGATACCGCACGGATTTTGTACATAAGTGAATAAACAAATGGATACATCGATGAACTGTGTATAGGCATATACTTACACACACACATGGTACGCACATTTGCTTATGTGGGCTTGTGAAATGAATATGTCGGCTTCATACATATTTCATACAATATATATATATATATATATGTATGTATGTATGTATGTATGTATGTATGTATGTATGTATGTATGTATGTATATATATATGTGTGTGTACACACACACTAGTAATTCTATCATTGTTATCAGTATTTCTACATACACAATGTCATTCGTATATATATATATATATGTATGTATATATGTATACACACATATATATATATATATATATATTTATTTGTTTGTATATTGGTATATCTGTATACAAATAGATATAACAAAAATGTAATCGAAGTTTCCACATGTGCAACATGTGCAGTATGCTCACGATTCTGTGAACACAGAATGGCAGATGCATAGAGACGTATGTGTGCACATAAGTACTCCTTGTCCTATTGTCAAGAAGCACATGGACTACATAGCTGTGTCAAAATACTGCTATATCTTCAAATCTGCTGATGTGTGCTTAGATGTGGAAGTGCGGATTCCAGATTTTACACGATCCACTGATTTGTGTATACACCCAGAGACATCACACTGGTAGTGGATCCTGTGTGCAGTTCCTGGCACGATCTATCACATCACGTACGCACGCACGCATGCACTCACGGTCGCATGCACACACAGATACACAGACACACGGTTGTCTCCCGGCATACTTTTGCCATTGACCCGTCCTCCCAATGAGTCCGAAAAACGCTCGCCAAGACTAGACTGCCTTCGGTGGACGCAATCTTGTGCCGCTTTTGAATATAGTCAAGACCTCACACTCCCATTTCAATGTTGGTCCCTGACTGTCCCCTTAGAGAATTTCACTTTGTCAGACTCCGAACCATATGCTGTCCGAGTGTGAGCGCCGAAAAGCCCTCTTTCGAACAGCCAAAAAAGTTTTATGCAGCCTGTGAGCAAGACAAACGCCAAAGGTCACCGTGAAAGCACGTGCCCACTACAACTGCTGCAAATAGTAGTCGCGGTGCTCGTGCAGATACTTGTTATACGAATCCGGAACTTACATGTCGGCATTGCGCATGCAAGTCGTGAATCTTTGTGCCTATATATCTGTGCTTAACATGTGTAAAAATAAGTATATCAAACAAACAAACAAAACAAAATGTTTGTGTATATATATATATATACACATATTTATGTGTGTGTGTGTAGAAAGAAATCTATTTTGCGCAGGCACGTGCATGTTAAGATTTGGGCCAATCAGGGTTCTAGCAATTGTTTCGGCTTTCCAGGTGCCTCCGCGTTGGGTTCGAGAACAAAGTCTGCAAAAAAGTGCTCCAGGCAGGCTGGTTCCGAAGCTGCAATGCCATCAATGAGGTCAGCAGCGGCGAGAAATCAGTCGTTTTCACGACGCTGTACAACACAATTGTGAAGCACAAGGATTTTTCCGAAGCCAACTTTGACACACTTATCATCGATGAAGCGGGACAGGTCGAGGACTGGAAGCTGTTTGTTCTGCTGCAGACGATTACGAGCCTCAGGAAAGTGATTCTGGTCGGTGACCACAAGCAGCTGCAACCCTACGTAAGCGAAGGTGTGCGAGACAAAGGGTTTGGAAGAAGTACAATGGAGAGGCTGATTGCCACCAAGGTCAGAGCAGGAAATGCCGGCTTCGATTTCATCATGCTGGAGGAGCAGCACCGAATGCCCCCCTCCGTGCGCAATGTCGTCAGCAGGACGTTTTACGACAACAAATTAATAGACGGGCCGAACATTCTGGTGAAGGGTAGGCGGTCCTGCGCAACCTCCGCGAAAGCAATTGTTGCCTTCGACCTGTCGTTTGGCGAGAACCAGATCAACCCCCTTGAGCGATCGCTTGAGAACTTGGACGAAGCGACCATCTCCAAGCTCATTTACGAACTCCTCCTGCAGGCACCAAGCGCTTACACAGCGCATGACATTTGCGTCTTGTCCCCGTACAATCGGCATAAGAATCGGCTGCGTACAATGCTGGCAGGAATTCCGGAGAGCGACTGGGCGAAGTGGGAGAATCTGAATCCGGACGTCGTCATGGATTCTAGCATGGATGAGCAAACGGCAGCAGTGCGTAACATCGACACAGTGGACAAGTTCCAGGGCTCGGAGCGAGAAGTTGTGATCATCAATACGGTGAGTGGTTGCCTGGAAAACAACCAGCGTGCCTGCGATCCACACTTCATCAACGTAGCAATGAGCCGATGCAAGAGCTTGCTAGTGCTCATCGGCAGGCTAACAGAACTGGGAAAAAGTGGTGGCAGCTGGCAGCGAATCATGAATTTCCTTCGGGAGGCCCAGATGCAGGCACCTCACGGGGCAAACGCCGACGTGTTGATTCTGCCGTGCGGAACGATGGAAGAGGCGAAAGCAGGTGTTGAAGCATTGTGTGACTCCGTGCCGATGTCGGGAAGCATGGCTGCCGATGGACCGGATGCCTAGACAAGCAAGGTTTCAGGAAAGCGCCCAGCACTTGCTCGACCGTTTCGGGCTCGGTCTCACCCAGACGTCAATGTGGTGTCTCGCTCAAGAATTACCAGTTTGACGGCATCTCCGAAATCTACATAAGTGTACCTTAGCACGGTGGATGTCCGATTCGCAATGTCGTCATACTCGCAATGGTGAGCGTGCGACCTTCCCCGGGCCTCGCAAGCTTTGGTGGAGAGGCAGCCAGGGTAGGATGCAGCGATCCGGTGAATTCCGGAAACCATCGAGGGGCGATGGAGTGAAAAGATTGACAAAGAAACGATTAAAACCAGCTGCCGGAAATAATCTGATGGGAAGAGCAGAGAGAGCCTCTTCCTGGAAGTTCAGTATCCTGCTGGGCCACCTGAACAACGCGCCGCAGTCCGAAGGCATCGACTCACCTCAGACCCCTTCAAATCCTTAAACGTGTCCCAGACGTGCTCAGTAGCAATCTGCTAGTCCAAGAACTTCACTTGCCATTGGAACCGTTTCCGTTGCAGCCGCAGGGGTGAAGGGTGATTGCTGTCTTTCCTTTCGACCTGCGCGCCGTGCTTTCCAAGAGACTTAGAGCCCGGGCCATGGCCCCTGAACCATCCTGAACCCGAACGCCTACGCCAGGAGTCGGCCTTCCTCTGGGATTTGACCCCAGAGATACGGGCCATCATCATCAACAACTTCCGGCCGGAAGCATAGGGTGTGATTTGCAAAGGTTGTTTTTTGCGACAGAGTCATCACGCTTGCATCGGGAAGCCTAGATTCGATTCACTACTGCTGCTACTGCTACGGCTACGGCTCGGCCTCGGCTACGGCTACGGCTGCTGCTGCTACTACCACGACCACGACTACGACTGATGCTGCTGACTGATGCTGCTGTTGGTTCTGCTGCGGCTTCCACTGCTGACACCTGCTACTCCAGCTGCTGCTGCTGCTGCTTCTGCTGCCAGTGCTCTACTAGTAGTGCGCAGTAGATCCAGGACGCTGACGGGGTGAGATTCTGGCGGTGCTGGATGCTGTCGTGAGGGTGCCGGGCGTGAAAAGCGTAGGCCCTCTCATCATCACTGCTATGCCCTATCATCACCACAGCTTCATGCTTACCACTAGGGTATCGTTTACGTTTCGATGACTCGCTTGAGCCCCGAGGGCTCGGCAGTGTAGCTGGCCACCGAGTTTTGTAGGGCTTGGCCGGAAGACCCCTTCCGCGGCCTTTCGGAATGAGTCGCATAGGGCATAGGAGGCGTTGCGCGCTCTTCGGCTTGGCCGGCCTAGTACTGGAAACACGCGGCTCCAAGTCTGAGCATCTTTTTTCAACTTCTAGGCATCAACCCGGCACGCAAGATCTTGCCTGCTTCTGCGCCTCTGCCGGATGATCCAAGGCCAGGTGGCACCAAGGACCCGATTGCCAGGGCAACTCTGGAACTGCACGGGGCTGCAGGTTTCGGTTTCAGCTTACGAGCTCAAGTTCTTCCGAGCTTAGGATTCCACTGAGGCAGGGAAAGGTTTGATGGCTCTGTCCTAGAGCTGTGGTTGTGACAAGCACAAGTTGAGGTGTGCCAAGTGGCAAGGCCCAGGTCGTTGGAACGAGGTTCGCTCGAAACGTCGGCCCATCACTGCACCTTGCTCTTAGCTACGTCGACGCGTGGTCTTCAAGCACCCGTGTTCATCCGAAGGTATGATTGCATATTTGCCTTCTGTTTCCTGCCAACCTTTTGTCGGGGTTGAAAGTCTTTAGCCGAGGCAGACCTGCGGTCTGGCTTAGAGCGCTTCGACGTACATCGGTCGTTCAACGGCGCGGTTGTTGGTGTTGTGGGGTTGTAGCCCTTACGGAATGCCAGGATGGCAACATGCTGGGACGATTGCAAGGGTGCGCCTGGGGTCTGGGGATGGCATGTTCGAGAGAGTCACTAGCCTTAGACGTGAGCCCGCTTGAGGCATTGAGACTCAAGCCCGAAGTGCTTTTGGATCTCACACTTCTGGGGGGATGCCGTTTGAAGATTTGAAGATGGTGCTGCCAAGACACATTGTGACGTTGTGCAGAACACTGCTAAAGTTTAGTAACACCTTGCTGAAAGCAGGCTGCGGCACTGACAGGTTGAAACGAAGATGTTCGGTTTTGTCCGGCCCTCCCTCGAAGAGTCCGGCATTGCCGATGGCGTGCTGTACAGTTGTTAAAACCATCCCCAAAATCTACTTCAGCACTGTACACATTGGTTTTGTCATGTGAAGCCATATGTATATCCACTTTCTCCCAGGTTGTATCAGGCCGTGGGGCGTGGTTCATGGATTTTGCGATGTTACAGCAGTCATAACACCGAACTGAAGCCCAAAATCCCGACAGCCTTAATTACAGGCTTGAACTCGCCCTAGACCGTGAAATTCTAAACACCTTTAAAACTTGCATCAGGTACACTCGCAGCGTGCTTCAAAGACAGGGCCTTCCCATTCCACACTCCTTGGTCGTGGAGAACATCGCACGCCCCGAGGTCCTTGGTGGGGCGTGCTCTGGATTTAGGAAGGGAGGTTGCCCCTGACATGAACCACGATTGGCTATAGCCAGAGTCGCCATCTGTGGGGATCACAAAGACTAACGTGGAAAAGGTTTCTGCAATAGTCTGCAAACCGAAGCCCTGCAATCTGGTACTGCTCGCTGTAAAACACACAATTTGGAGGAACCTTGTGTTGTGTCGCGCCTGTTGCCTGGACCTACCCACGCCTGCTGCTTCTGTTTCTCATGCTTGGAAACCCTTTTGTCTTATGTTTGGTAGCTTCGAATGCGAATCCCTGAGCCTTAGAGACTTAAAGACCATATTGGACTCTCTTCAAGCCGTGCCTGCCTCGTGCGAGTGTGCATGTCGAAAGACCAAATTGTGAGAGATTGACGCCGGAAAGGAAGCCTTAGGACGCCTGATAGTTTGAGGTTGACTACCGGTAGTTGCTGAAGGCCCCCAACTCAACAGGCCTGACATCTGAAAGCAGCCAATGGGCTACACCTCCGGTCAATCTGCAGGAGGCCAACTGGAGCACAGCCCTTGCACCAGCCCCCATGGCCAATGCAGGCACCGGCCCAAGTTGAAAGAAATTATTCCAGGTTGGGGCTGTACCCGATGCACAAGGCCTGGGTTCTCAAGAACTGGCCATCTTGCATTCAGAAGACCAAACGAATGACATACCCAGTGCCCAAAAGCCAGCAAAACTCCTGACTTTTCCGAAAGCCCGAACAGCGGTGAGGCTATGCTGCTAGCCCGTGGGATCCCTGGTCTTTTGCCAGCCGGCCCGGCTGCCCAGATCTCCACGTTCTATCACTCTTACTCACAGCCTCGGGTTTGCTTTGGTTGTCAGTCTGGGTCCCAGGCTACCTGTGCGCATGCTACCTCAGCTTCACTCACTCAATTCTACGCACTCTTATTCGCTACCGCTCACTCTTGTTCTTCCTAGAACTTGCACTCTTGCGGTTTCATTACCCCCACATTCTCTCACATCGACGTTTCGTTCGCCAGGGACAGCTGGCAGCTGGCAATCCTGACCTATCAAGAAATGAGACCTTTTTTAGGAAAGTGTAAACAAAGACATAGCATCAGAACAAGAGCGTTTGGGAGAGCGAACGAGTCAGGCAATAAGAAAGTGTAACAAAAAGAACGAGAGAGAGCAGATCAGAAACAGAGTCAAAGAGGCGCGCTGGCTTGGAGCAAGCGCTGAATAGTGCGAAAAGGCAGAAGCCCGGTTGCTGACATGGCCATCCGCATCAGCCGAGGCAAATTCCAGCAATTGTCATGTGTGTGTGTGTGTGTGTGTATGTGTGTGTGTGTTGTCAAACAAGCACCTCGCAATGAAGGGATGTGTAGAACAGTTCAACGCGATCAGTATGCCGAGTCCGATCTCGGCCCCTCGTGTTCGAGGGGAAGTTTCCAGCTGAATGTCTTCGTTCATCCGGTTATCCGTGTTTAGTGTCTTTCGCCCTCGTTCATTGCCGCCAGCACAGGTTGACCTGCAAAGCCCTCTTGTGGACTCGAATGTCGGGTCTAGCATCCAGCAGAAGCTAGCTAGCAGCTAGCAGACCTAGACTCCTAGGGATCGTAGACATGAAGCCGGGGTACGAGGTAATTCTTACTTTGCACGGATTCATGGTGGTTTCGTGTGCCGACTCCCAACGAAACCGAAAGGTAGGCAATCCACGGGGCGATCATTCTATCTTTTTGATGGGAACCTTATCCGAGGCTGGGCCTCAACGACGAGGGTGCCCAGTTCCTGGCGTCTCTACCCGAGGTCTGGGATTAGTGGTACGCAGGTAAGGAGGGAGGGGCCGGTGCAAGCTCACAAGGCAGCCCGTTGTTCATGACACATGTGGAAGTCAGAGTTGTCAAGGGTTTTGCATTAGACGGGCGAACATATTTTTGTCTTGGCAAGGCTTTATGCGTGTAGGCCTGCATAGTTTCAATTGTGCTTGGCAGCACGACATCACATGCACGTTGCTGTGTCGCAGGGGCCTGCAGCAACTTTTGACTTCTTGCTACGGTTTCGTCAACTTGCTTTGCGATACATTTGTTTCGGCGCGCACTCTCGGACTAAATCTGCTCGAACTCATTGCAGCGAAGATCACCGCCTTTGTATGATTTCGGGTGTGGCTTTCCGAGTTTGAATCGCAGGATTGTCGCTGCAGTCAGACCTAGACTCGTCGACCTATACGATGAATCTTGCTCAGACATATCTCTCACACCTGAAGTCTAAGCACGTGTGAAAGGCTTGTGAACAGCCTCTCACATCTCATCTCAGTTCTCAGTCTCTGAAACCGTGCCAAGCAAACACTAACGCCTGTTGAGTTGGATCCATCCTTTGCCCACAGAGTCACAGCAGCAGGAATTGCTGAAAGCCAGCATTCAGAGCTTCGATCCCGCCGGCACTAAGGACGACGGGCCAGAATCCAGTGCTAAATGCTAAGGTTGAGGGCTTGTCGACAGGAGTCTGGCAATTTCAAGTTGTCTTGCTGGAGAGCATGTTTTGCAAATCACGTCTAGTTCTCCAATAGTATGGTAGTAAGTTCGTAGGTTTGGTGTAGCGGGCTTTGGTCACGCAGCCCGCGAGGGTCTCTGCAGCCCGTGTTACGCCGCCAGACTGCCATAATTGTCTAGCCCGCAACCGTGTAGTCTCCGGGACGGTTCTATGGTACGTAGGGCTTGGACTACCGGGTCTTCCTTCAACATCGTTCACTATTCGGCGTCCATGCTGGCACATGTATGAATAATCTTTTTCGCTAGAAAAAGAAGCCGTGTATGCCCCCACATTACACAGGAGTGCACCTGTTTCTCTTTGACATTATCGAGTGGAAGCTCATGCTCGCAGCACAAGATTCAAGCATGAGCTTTGCTTACTACCGTCAACGCTGCTCAAGGCAAAGGGCCACCCCAGTAGCAACTTAGCACGAGCTTGAACGTCTGACTCAGTCCAGTACTCAAAGTGGAAGTAGAAAGTGAAACATGCACCCATTGCAACTGGCAAGAGTGCTCGGCAGCAATTCAGCCAGGATGGCAATGTGTGGGGACGTCTGCTCGGCTTTATCCGCGGCCTTTGGATGAAGCGTGCGAGACTTATTGGTGAGAACTCAGGAATGTTGACTGAGCTCGAGTCTGTGCAGCCCGTGCAGAACGATTCGTGCTTCGCTAGGAAACATAGGGCTTCCGTGCTGCCGAGAACCCTGAGCTCTAAACCGACAAAACAACCAAACCACCCTGCAAAATGGGGGGCTCGTCCCTGCAAAGCAGGAGGCGAAAAAAGGCAGATAGCTGCAGTGGTGACCTGAAGCTGAGTCTATCATTGTAGCCCTGCAGCTCGCCCATTTCTTCAACACTCCCGTAGTGGTTTCAGGCTTCGTGCATGACTCACATGTTCACCGAGGCCTTCAGCTGAACGAGGAGGCTGGCTGCTCGAGTGAAGGAGAGTTGCACACACCTGAAAGAGTACGACTTTCCAGTGATACCACGCCACCACCCACCACCACCCACCACCACCCACCACCACCCACCACCACCCACCACCACCCACCACCACCCACCACCACCCACCACCACCCACCACCACCCACCACCACCCACCACCACCCACCACCACCCACCACCACCCACCACCACCCACCACCACCCACCACCACCCACCACCACCCACCACCACCCACCACCACCCACCAGACCCACCACCGCCCCACCCCCTTACACGTACCGCACCTACTACCGCCACCTGCCGCCACCAGCGCCGCCAACACCAACAACACCCAAACCAACAACACCACCACTCGCTGGCTCCACTCCCCTGAAATTGACACATTGTAGGGTACCGCCTGCCATGAAAGCTGAACAGAGGCCATATCTTGCGTCAAGAACTTATCGGAGGAGGCACTGATGCAGGCTCGGCAGGGATGCGACAGCGACTGCCTAAGGGTTGCAGGATGTAAGGGGGTTTGTTCAGACTGTTATGTCTCTAGAAGTCTCGGATTGGTGCAGTCGGAGTCTGGCACGGGTGTGCTGTTCTCTTGCGGGAAGCCGACCGCCGATGGCAGGTCATGATATCCTTCCATCCTGGACCGAAGGATGGAACCCTCTCTGCCAGCACCCCAGTTACCCTATTCGACGGGTGATCACTTTTTCAATACAAGCTCACAGGTGAAATCCGGATCTCCTGCCCTCACGGCTGCCAGTGCAGCTGCACGACCAGCCCCCTCTCAAGTGCAGAAGCCCTTAGCATGAAGGCTCGACTCATTGCCTTCGCCAAGAATCTCTCGTGGTCCGGCCCGATGCAGCACCAGGCAGCGCGGAAACCTCGAACCCAAGTCCAAGGACACTCCGGTCCGACCTGCACCATTGAAACCCCAAGATCAAGTTGTGTTCTCCCTATCTAAGCTCAGTAACAACAAGACTACGAGCTGTGCAGTGTTGCCGAACCCCGACCCCACTCCCTTTCGGAAGCCCTCGCAACCATGCAGGGGAGACGTCCAAACGGTCATAGTATATTTTCGCTGAACCACAGACGACTTGATCGCCCTTCCATGCCATCCCACCTCATCATCTGTTTCCTTCGCAGTTCTTGTCGGCCGCAACTGACGTAACTTGAGTCTGACCAGTCCTCTGGCACCGATTCCACTTGCTCTATATTCTCTAGAACTCCGGATCTTGAATCCGATGCCGAGAGGAGGCTGAACACCAAATATCCGCTGAATCTCGCCTCGCTGTGCAGGGGTCTTATGAGCAGCAGTGGCAGGACCCGAGTGCAGCCAAGAACTCGGACAATCTGGGAGGCTAATCGAGTTTTGGGGATTGAGGGCTTACTTTTCTCTCCCAGTTTTACTAGGAAGTATTGGGTACACAGATGAATCTCCAATCCGAACCTAGTTCGTTTGCATAGTTTGCGTTGCATCACAGTTGGGGAAGGCTTCGAAGTGCTCAGTTGCGGAATTTCGGGTGATGAGCTGCAAATTTAGGAGTTTTTGTTCGGTGTCCGGCCTTTCCGGTCGAACGCATGCAGGAGCTGTAATGACTGTAATGGGCTCGGAGTTGGGATGTCAGTCATTGAAAAAGGTTAGGATGAGACAACCTGCCCTGCGATTTGCCGGGGGCCGTGTTCTTTGGTGTGCCTCCTGTGGCGGTGCCAGGCAAAAAGATATTCTCTTGCAGGTTCGAGTAGTGTCAGTGCCGTGTTGGGGTTGTGGAAGCGTTTGGTACTGGGCGCTGCTTCGAGCATCCGGATCTTGAGCTGCTCCCCTTTGCGAGAGTTTTCAAGCTCCAAGGCCGCCTCGTAAGACCCAACCGGCCTAGCACGGCTCGGAGAATGCCTAAGGCCATGCCGACGCCTTCGCCCTCGGCGCCCATCAGCTATGCTCCGCCACGTGCGCAGGCAGTATACGGGCAGTCTGTGCCGCTGAACGCCGGCCCCAAACGGCAACGTCGGACACACCGGTCCTTCTGTCAGGCGCGCAGCGCATCCTCCGTTGTCTGGGAGCTCGCCACGTACTGGCAGCTGGACCAAGGCGTGGGACGGTGGGATTGCAAGGAGCGGGACAGGAAGCCATGGAAAGGTGCTGTTTACATCGGCCTAATATTAGCAGGTGGTGTACTTAGTGTACTTGATGTAACTGTATCACATGTCGAGAAGCCGCAATCTCCAACTTGGCTGAGCTGGGCAATCAGGGCAGCAGTCAAGTCCTTGAAGAAGGATTCCACAACGGGCTTTAACACGTCTGCCGTAAGATGTCAGATGAGTGGTTTGCGGCAGGCCGCTGCAGCGCAGCTGAGCGTAGAGATCTAATCTTGTTCGTGAACTTTCTTGGCTACAAGTACGATTGTTGACGTTTGTTGAACGGAGGAGCACTCAGCAACACATCCCGTCTGGCATCGGAGTGGAAACCAAACTCTGATGGACGGCGCCAGGTTGCATAGACTTCTTGATGCAGTTGCCGGACGAGGCCATGACGGGCGGCTTGAATCCTTCAGCGGTTTTAAGTCAGCACTCTCTGGGTCATGTCGTGCGACGACCTGCAGGAAACCGAGCCTCACCTGGCATGACCAAGCTCAAAATGTGCAAACAGCCGGCTGATTGAGTCTGATTGAGTTTTGGTGGTATTGGCAGCTTTCGGCGTCACCAGTGCCGAGCAAAGCTGTGACAAGACATCACATCATGACTCTGGAACTTCACGGTGCGCTGCGTTTCCGTCACGGCTGCTGTCTTCCTCGGCCTCACTCGCGCCGCCACGGCAGTCCGAGAGCAGTAGCGTCGCTTCCGTCGGGTCCCAGCAATGCCGCAATCCGGTCTTCGCAAGGAATCCAAGCCTGAGACTTGCAGAGTCTCCAGCTGGTGCAACCGCAGCTTTCTGTTTCGGCAGGAAGTGATGAAGCCCTGCCTCTTCACCCTAAGGTCCATCTGCTCAAACAACATGGCAACTTTCATGTTGCCTTTGCACATCAGCTAAGGCACCACAAGGCAGTTCGAAGCCGCTCGTAGATGCCCGAGTTATTGCTTATTCAGGGACATTTCGGAGCGCAATGAGGTCGGTCATGGTACTACGTACGACAAGCCAGTGTATTGCAGAAGAATGCTATTATCTTGCAGGTTTCATTCAAGCTTCATGTCATACACGTTGGCTTGCGTCCATGCTGCCGAGCATGAACGCAATAATGGCCGAGCTCTATCGACTCTGCTTCCTTTGTTTGCCCCAACTTTCGTGGCCATCTTTTCAGTTCTGGATCGAAGGCACATTCGTCCTCCAATGGCTTCCATTCACCGTAATGTCGCTGTCGCATTCAAGTCAGCCTTCCGAGCGGTAGTCTCGGGCAAAGCTTCCGCATGCGGAATTGCCGTTGACCCATACGCTCATCTAGGCCGGTCGCTGCTGCTCGCAACTTTTTGCCAGCATGTCGTTGGCCAGTACGAGATCCGGTCAAGCTATGTCGAACAGGATAGTCTTCAGGCCCGAGGTTAAGGGAACGCACAAATCGAGAAGCGCAAGTTAGATCCCCTCCTGGTGATCTCCATGACAGTCTTGAATGCTGCACCACTTCGGAGCTCGTTATGGTTGACCCTACAGGTGGAGCCTTGTGCTGTTGGCCTCCAGAGCACCCAAAAGCCTGCGCAGATCAAGTGGGAAATCTCCACGGGCTTCAACCCTTGGGGGGCGAAGGCAGGCAACATAGTGGTTTTTCGAAGAGGTGTGTTGATAAGAGGTTGCTACAGCTTGAGAGAAAGAGGGTGGGCGATGGGCTCAAGTTCTTGGAGTAGATGCGCATCATGGCTATCACCGTTAGCTGCGTTGAACCAGCTTCTTCCCCACTTCAGGCCACCATCGAAGTTGAGAGCCTACACGCTGAATGATTGAATACTACAATTACTACAATAGCCATTGGTGTAAAATTGAATCCTGTATCAGCGGCCATCAAAAGCGCGCGGTAGTTCGAGAACAAAGCTCCACAGCTTGAACTGATCAAGGTATACGGGCTTCAGGGGGTGGAAGCTCATGTTCTCCTACCTTGTTCCATGTCGAAGACTTTGAGATTGTGGCTTAATGTCGCTCTTCAAAACGAACCGGAACTTGCAAGTGAGTCAGGATGGAAACATTTGGGGACGTCTATTGGGCTTCATCCGCGTCCTCGTAGCGCAGTGGGTCGGATGGGCAGCGCACTCGGTTCGCGAATCCAAAGTTGGCTCCTCTCCGGTACGGCTTGGCCCGAGGGCGGAAGGCTTCAGGCTCAAACAGGGTACTTCTGTAACGCGCTAGTCTCACTCACTCATTGTAGACCATGGCACCTCGGGCATGTCAAAGGACGGTTGGACTGTAGCTGCTTAGCTTGCAGACCATGGCACCGGTAGTGTATGAACGACGGGAGCTCTAGCAGCAGACATTTGTAACTGTCCTTGCCATGAAGTTGCGAGTCAGTAGACCAGGCAGAGACGCAATGCTGGTTATCGCTAAGGACCGGGCCAAAGTGGAATACATGAAGATGCTGCCTGAGGCCACAGCATGAGCTGGCAAAGCTTCATGCCCAGCAGATCAGCATGAACGCTTTGTTTTGGAGCGCTGAAGCTGATTCTGAGTCATTTATATAGAGTCAAAAGCTCAAACTGCGGGAAGTCCAAGCTACAGTTTTGTATCCGGCTAGCCACGGGGCTACAAAACTCGAAGCCCTGACAAGCGAAGCTTATCTTGGAGTCCCTGGCTGAGTGGAAAACTCGATGGCGATCATGGGCTGTCGTTCTGATTGGGAGGAGCAGCAGAAGGAGATGATTCTGTGCTGGCCTCGGGATGGTCCAAAGCCGTTCTGAGGCGGCTGGTAGTGCGATCGTGAAGACGGCGATGAGTAGCATCATGACGGGGTGAAGAAGACGAGTGGATGATGGCTGTGCTGCGAATGCCGCAGCTCACTGGCAATGAGGATGGCGAACTGGATTGTGGTGATGATGCTGATGAGCCTGGGGTTGGTGACCAGTGTCTCATCTTCATGACGGTCCAAAAGTGAGTGTTGCTCTACTTACTTCCAGGCTGGGGGGGGGGCGGGTGGCCTCCCCAGATCAGCGGTTTAGCAAGGGACTCTAGGCGTTTTCCCCATCCAGATAGCCGGGCTTGCTTCCAACAACCGTGGACCTCAATCCCCTGGTTTAAGAAGCCAGCTGTCCAAAAAATGCAGGGCCGGAAACTTGTCAATCTTTGAAACCCTGCAAAACGAAAAAACGGGACGGTCGAGAAAGCTTTGCTATATAGGGGTCCCCCACACCAATCACGAATAAAAATGAGGGTTGGTACTTTTCATTGATGTCAATATCACAGAGACCGCTTTCAATACCATGGCGACGCTGGTACGCAGTAAAAGTGAAACATGAAGTCTGTCATGGACATCATTAGTAAGAAGTGAAGACCGCATGGCATTCCTGATAATGTTGATGATGAAGATGGTGATGCTGATGACGGTGGTGGTGATGATGATGATGACGATGTTGATACAAATCGCCAAAAACCACTTCTATTGGCATGCCCATCTCTGTGACTCTTTGCAGATTCTGCGTAATTAAGCACCAAAAACCACTAAACAAAAACATATTCAAATAACACCTTGTCCCATGATGCTGACGATGGGGCAATGGTAATTAGCAATGGTTGCCCTAGTCATGGCGATGCGGAAACGTTTCATGAGATGGTGCTCGTTTCGCTGACGCTGCTGCCGCTGGTGCTGGTGCTGGTACAGTATGGCAGAGAGCTCGCTTCCTGTTCCTTTGAGAAGAAGCCGTTCGAGATCAGGACTTCGCTCTCCGCCGTCTATCAGGGCTACACCAACCAGGCAGCGTGGTCTCCGGCACGCTTGGGCCTTGGTCCTTGGGCTCTTGTTGGTTTAGCAAACGTGGATCCGATTTGGAAATGGGGCGATATATGTTTTTGTTGTAATTGCGGCGAGTGCACAAGCCGGGATGGAAAAAAAAACACTCATTTGCGGGTGGCCTTGCTATGGGGCTTACATGGGTGCATCATTCTCGGCCCAAGCAAGTCAGCCGAGGAGCTCAATGAAATGTTGCACTGTTGCACATGACATGCCAAGCGCGTGTGGGTGACGCTCACATGAATTTCGAAGACGAAGTTAAAGCCGGAAGCCAATGCCATGATCCCCTGTACCTTTGGGGGCCGATACCAGCCACCAGAGACCTGCCAAGTTCTTCCTCCTCCCAGGAAAACGCCAGCGCCTCGTGGGCCACGAGGTGCCCGTAGCATCTTCTGCCCGCCGAGACCGCTACAGCTCGCAAGCGCGACGGCGGTGGGGGCCGATCGGCTGACCTGTGGGCCGGATGAACATGTGTCTGCTACGTCCATCGACTTCGAGGTCCGCTTGGAACGGCTGCTCTTCGGCATGTTGAGCCGATCGTATGAGATTCCGCGGGGTGCGCTTGGGGCCGAGGTCAGCCGATTGTTGCAGACACTGCTGCAGAAGTTTCAAGAAGGCCTGGAAGCCCTACGCTTGTTGGCTTGTACCTGGACCTTCCGGCTTTGCTTTGCCAACAGCTCGGTTTGGTGGCAAAGTTGGGGGCAACTGTCGGATCTGCTGGAGAAAACCGCCGAGAAAATGGTCGCGGTGGGCTATGACATTTTCGAAACATATGGGGTTCATGCGAGCTTGGTGCGTATCCCCAAGCCTGTCGCCGTTCAAGCCGGTAGAAATGCTATCCTTGAAATGTTGCTGGGCTAGTCATGCTGCCAGGCTGTCCGGTTGTAAGCTGCTTCACTGTTTCCTGGGTGGAAGACGGACACTGTGCAGCTGAGGTCGCTCCAGGCGGAGAGCTTCTACCAAGCCTTCACGACATCCATGGATCCGATTTTTGGCGACGTTATACCGCAAGTTTTAGAGCATCGGAAGCGCTTTAACCGACAGACGCCTGGCCTGAAGATATACTCGCCCGACTTCCCGCCGGAGGTCCCAGGAAGTCAGCTATGGCAGTCCTACCCGGCCAGTTTCGCCGACACTTGCCAGTCGGCTGCCAATCTGCCGTGGTACGCCTGGCACGACAGGAGACAGGACCGAGAGGGGCGCGGCGGTGGCTTTGACATGTCGGGACTACGGATCAGACATCGGACGATGGAAGAGGTGGTGGAAGAGATTGCTGAAGTGCAGGAGTTGTCTTTCCAGGTGCTGAATTTGGGAGCCATGGATGGCCGATGTAGCGGAGGGCCTTCTACAGATCCTGCGAACTGTTTGCTGCAAGGTTCGGCGATGAACCGTTCCTGGGGTGGTGTGGTGGTCGAGGCTGATCCACCCCCGAAGCTTTGGGAACTCTTCGGTAAGCGACGTGATGTGGTTATAGTGGACAGGGCTGTGTTTCCGGAAAATGCGTCGAGAGTCTTCGACTTCGGACTGCCAGCGCCAAATCCACCCAGAAGTCTGGACTTGCTGAAGATCGACCTGGACTCCTTTGACTGTGACGTGGTCTCCTCGCTCTTGAGGGTGGGGCCTTTAGCGAGAAATCCTCCCAAGCTCCTTTATATCGAGCCCTGGAGTGTCAAGCAGAAGACACTTTTCTAAGAAGTTAACATGGTGCACGAGTTGCGATTCCCTCCATGCCTTTGCGACCGAGGACTTCAATCCTCACATCCCTCCGCCCTTTCTCTACCGGACCATTTCAACCTCAAAGACGAGGATTATACCTTTCCAGGGCTCTTCACTGCAATGCTTCTTGGAGGCCGCGCGCAACTTCAGCTTGTTACACGTGGAGCTCTTTAACGCGGTTCTGGTACGAGAGGACCACCGCAGAGCTCTCTTCGGAACGGTTGCAAGTAGATGATGCACTCCTGACTTGTTTCCCGAAGCACTCCAACAGCGGGCACAGTAGCATATAACGTCAACTGCCGTAGATCTACGAGCCCCAAAAGCCTGTCTACAGAAACGATTTACGCTACTTAAGCAAAGGGTATCGTCACCAGGACCTGAAGCACCTCTTCCCTGAGTTGCGGCTTTTGGACCCCTACCAGCAATGGGCCCAGGGCTACTTCTGCCATCCCCTGGCCCGTGTTTTATGGCACCGGGAGCGCGACATCCGCTGGCTGGGCACGGATCCCCGAGCCTGGGCCCAAGGGCCCCGAAAGAACATCGATCAGACTGGGGAGAGCATCCTGCAGGTCCTGGGCCGCGTACGGGAGCGCGTGCCAACCTTCGAGTTCTCCTTGACTTGGTAGCGCCGTTTGCAGATGCAAGCGGGCACCCTGCAAAAGGTGGCAGAAAAGAGCAACACCACGCAAACTCAATGTTCAGTTGCTGAGAGGCCAGACCGCTTCGATAGAGGGGTGGGGGGGGTTGTTGTTCATGGATTTGGGGAACAACAACCCCCCCCCACCCCCCCCTTGTTGTTCCCATTTTGAGAGAACAATAACCCCCCCCTGTTGTTCTTCCTTCGTTTCTTCGAACAACACCCCCCCCCCCCCCCGCTGACCCCCCCTGTTGTTCTTCGAACAACAACCCCCCCCCCCCTGTTGTTGTTCAACCCCCTTCCCTGATGTTCTTCCTCTTCGAACAACAACCCCCCCTTGTTGTTCAACCTCCCCTCCGCCCACGCGGTTTTCCATGCCCCCCCCCCTCCCCCCCCCTTGTTCCCCTTTTGAAGGAATAACACCCCCCCCCCCTTGTTGTTCCCCTTGGAACAAACAACCCCCCCCCTGTTGTTCGCCTTTTCCCTGTTGTTCTTCCCTCGTTTCTTCGCACAACACCCCCCCCCCCCCCCCCCCCCCGCTGTTGTTCAACCCCCCCCCCCCCGTTGTTCTTCGAACCCACCCCCCCCCCCCCCCCATTGTTGTTCACCCCCCCCCCCCCCCCTGTTGTTCTTTTGTTCAACCCCCCCCCCCCTCCCCGTGCATCCGCCCACGGGGTGGGGGGGGTTGTTGTTCCCCAAATCCACGAACAACAACCCCCCCCTCGAAGCGGTCTCTGAGAGGCTGTGGTTTTTGAAGTTCAGGCTCCGTCGGCGTATGAACCTCCAACTGCAATGTCCTCAGGATGACTTGGCCGCCCCGAGTTTCTCAAGTATCGACTGTCCGGTAAAACTTCCGTAAGCCCCATACCTGTATAAAGACAGATTCAGAAAGCCCACAGGCATGGGCAACTCCAAGCGCTCAAGACAGAAGCAGCACAGAGGCCCCAGCGCTCCGAGTGGAACGCCGACCCTGCAGCAATTCGTCGATCGCTGGGGTCTGGACGAGCGGGCGAGCCAGTTCCTGCAGGCCGGCCTTGTGGTTCAAAGTGAGGAAGCTCGAACTGTCTACCCAGAGAGTGAGTTTTAGAGGTGCGTCGCGTTTCCAAGGCTTTACCACACCACGTTCTCCAGGTGGTGCTGTTTGGGGCTTAGTGCGATTGCAGGGAAAAGCTGTATAAAGGCGGCCTTCCAACTCCTTCTTTTACATGTGTAAACAGTTACGTAGGACAACGGTCAGCCACGCTCAGACCGCCTCAGGTCGGCATTCGACGCGTCTGCTTCTGCAGATGGAAATGTGCTGGGGGGCTCAAGCTGCTAGATTCTGCTAGATCAGGCGAAGAAACGTGTCATGACACCCAGGTGTTATGCATGTAATGCAGACCCGACGGACTTATCCTGATCGGCAAATCTCGAACTCCGCCATCTCAAGCCGCCGCTCCAAAGGTGGGGTCGCCTCCTCGGCTTCGTGCGTTCGACTTGGGGAAGAACTATGAAGCTCCCACTGGTCGGCGGCTCGGGCACTGCTTGGGCCCTCAATACACAATTCTCTGGGAGACCTGAGTCAAGCAGTATCAACTTTGGTGGTGTCTAGCCTACATGATTTAGTGTGTATATGCGATTTTCAGGATCGCACATACAATTACTGCAATGGGAAACCGTTTGCATAGGGTTTCGGCGGAGCGGTGGCAAAGCAGCAACGCATGCTAGTGCCTCCACGACACCTACCAAAATCGTGTGTCGTCCGATTCTTCACCCCTAAGTTTCTGCGCTGCACGCACAAACCAAACCGGCGCTTCGCTACGCCACAGCATCAGTGCTTTTGTTGCAGAGGGTTTCTCCTGCGGCTCCTCGTCCCTAGTTTTTCTAGAAGAGGCATAGGGCGAGTTGGGACTGTTCAACAGAGCCTTGCATAAATTCATGGAAGCCGTGCGCCTTAAGCCTGAAGCCCAACCAAGCGAGGAGGAAGTATCACACCTCAAGACCATGCCCGACCTTGCTCCTGGGCCTTGTTCAGTTGTTTTTGGGCTCAGCATCCTTTGCGTTGCATTAAATTAGATGTGTCTTACCCCGCTTCGTTCTTTGGCGATGTTTGGGTAGACAGTGAACAATCCACAATCATTCCGTGCCGCCCGGAAGCGGGGGCAGAGGAGACCCGTGTCTCCGTCAAATGCAAACACTCGCGCAAGCTACACAAGTATCAGAGCATGTTAACCCTCATTACCATCACCATCATTAGTAAATCACATCAAACTCGTCCTGTCCCTCAGCACGAGCCCACCATTAATATTAGTATGTCTATTATTACTATTAACTGTTACTACTACTACTACTACTACTACTACTACTCCTGCTACTACTACTGCTACTACTACTGCTACTACTACGACTACGACGACGACGACTACTACTACTACCACCACTACTACTACTATTACTACTATTACTACCACTACCACTACCACTACCACTACCACTACCACTACCACTACCTCTACTACTACTACTACTACTACTACTACTACTACTACTACTACTACTACTACTATTACTACTACTACTACTACTACTACTACTACTACTACTACTACTACTACTACTACTACTACTACTACTACTACTACTACTAAACTACTACTACTACTACTACTACTACTACTACTACTACTACTACTACTACTACTACTACTACTACTACTACTACTACTACTACTACTACTACTACTACTACTACTACTACTACTACTACTACTACTACTACTACTACTACAACTACTACTACTACTACTACTACTACTACTACTACTACTACTACTACTACTACTACTACTACTACTAGCCACCCCCCCCTCCCAACTACACTTGTTCCATCCGGGCTGGGCAACGGTAGCTGCTAGGCGCCTTAACTGCGATAGTTGCAGAAGATGCACGGGCTCAGGCTCCTTATCTGTGACAGCTGCAGAAGTTGCAGAGGCTCAGTTTCCTTAACTGTCACAGCCGGTGAAGTTGCAGGGGCTCAGGCCCCAAAACTGACACAGCAGCTGGAGTTGCAAGCTCGACGGGGAAGAAACTGATAAACCCCAGGTGGTCGGATAGTACGAAAACGCTGTAAATACCGTGCAAAACCCAGGTGCTGCCAACAAGGGTTTAACGTTTCTAAAACCTGAAGCGCAACATCTTCTGAACATCAAAAACAAACATGTCAGCTGTACGTGGGAGGGGCTCGCCAACACCCCTACCGCCCAACCTCTGCGTAGGAGTCAGGGTCTGTTTTTGAAGTGGTGTGTGTGGTGTGTGCGGGCTTGAGTGTGGAAATATTGTTCAGGGTGTCCGCAAAACAGTGTCGTGATCATCTCCGAAGAAGCTTTCCCCCACCCAATTTTGAGTTTTTTTTGCAAACAGTTCCAAAGAGCAAAGTTTAATACGCATTGTCGAGAAGTAGGGGCTCAGAATATGTAACAAAGTCTGACATCACGAAAGTACCGTAAATACCGAGTTAAACGGCTCTTGCGGTGATACTGCTGGGTGTGTTCGCGTAACACTGTCGTCATCATCCCCCCCCCACCCCCCCACCCACCCCCAGAAGCAAGTCCAAAATCAAGAGCCCGAGTTTGCAAACTCGACAAGTCGATTTTTGGGCCTCTTAGGATGATCGCACATGACGAAAGTGCCGTAAATACCGATTAAAATGGATCTTGTCTTAACATGGTTGAGAGCAAGGGTAGTTGGTAGTAGGGGGGGTGCCTACTACTACTACTACTACTACTACTACTACTACTACTACTACTACTACTACTACTACTACTACTACTACTACTACTACTACTAACCCTAATGCTAATCCTAATGCTATTGCCATTGCGCTTCTGCTACTGCCACTGCCACTACTACTACCACTACTACTACTACTACTACTACTACTACTACTACTACTACTACTACTACTACTACTACTACTACTACTACTACTACTACTACTACTACTACTACTACTACTACTACTACTACTACTACTACTACTACTACTACTACTACTACTACTACTACTACTGCTACTACTGCTACTACTGCTGCTACTGCTACCGCTACCGCTACCGCTACCGCTACCGCTACCGCTACCGCTACCGCTACCGCTACCGCTACTGCTACCGCTACTGCTACTGCTACTGCTACTGCTACTGCTACTGCTGCTGCTCCTGCTGCTGCTGCTGCTGCTGCTGCTCCTGCTCCTGCTGCTGCTGCTGCTGCTCCTGCTGCTGCTGCTGCTGCTGCTGCTACTGCTACTGCTACTGCTTCTGCTTCTGCTTCTGCTTCTGCTACTGCTGCTGCTACTGCTACTGCTACTGCCGCCGTCACCGTCATCGTCGTCGTCTTCATCGTCATTATGCTTTAATCCTGGCGTGAGTATCTTCAGCAGCATTCCACAGGGGAAGGAAGTGCAAAAGCCGATGTGGAAGAGCATGCCCGTTGTTGTGGGTTCGGAAACCTTGCACTAGCATCCCACGGTGAAGGAGGGATTGGGTTTGTCAAGGTGTGCAGGCAGTCGCGGTGGGATGCAGCATCCGTGATGGTATCGGGTGGCTCAGGTGTTGCCAGGGTCTGCCGGAACTGCTTCAATATAAACCGTTTCCAAGGTTCAGGTCCAGATCATCACGGCCCGGCACTCATAGGGCGATGTCGGGTGCTTCGTGAAGGGAAGATATCCAAACCGTGGCTGGCCGTTGCGTTGCCGTAGAAAAGTCGGCAGGTATAGCCATGGCAGGGCACAACTTTGAAACAGAAGGGTGGTGGGTGACACTGCCTCGGTCGGTTAGACGGTGAGTTGGATCTCAGAGAGTCGGCTTTTGGAGCCTAGCACTTTATGCGGTGCTTTCGCAGCCCGAATGATTCTCTGAAGAAGGAGTCCCGGCCCCAGACAATGAAGTCGGAAGAACCTGCAGGTTTGCTCATGCCCCACCAGGGGCATGTACACCCCAAGCTCACCATAAACCATATAGGAGTTTAGCCTTGAAGCTCCCAACTCCTTCGATTTCAGATTCACACTCAATCCGTTCAAGCCACAAGACTGTCTCAGGAGTACAACCCTGCCGGTGGTATGCGGCTTGTTGACTTCGCCAATCAGACGCTGCAGGACGGTTTTGAAAAGCCTTTACCCCCGTAAACATATGAGACACCCTAGATGGCGCTAGAATTGCTGCCATCAAACATGAGGCTTGGTGTCTGTTTCGCGGAGAACTGAACCTCATCAACGGCCTTGCGCAACCAAACCAAGCAGCACTTTGAGGCTTCAGGAATGGCCTCGGAGATGCCAGCTTTGCCGGCGCCGGCTTGGCTCCCAGGGCTTTGGAAGGATGAAGTGAGTCCGGATGCTGGGTAGTACATGCTTGAGTTCGCACCCCTCTTTTCAGAGGTTTCGTTACCCAGTTTATAACTTCGTGTCCTCAAATGGTTGTATACTTGCTTGAGGCGGGTCTGTTGCCCGTGCCGAACATGCTCTTATTATTGGCTACAAGAAGAGCATGGTTGGATGGAGCACGGTGCACATAAGTGCTGGTTGATGTGAAACGGGGCCAGTGGTGGCCCACCACGTCCAACATGTGTCCTATCTTTGTCTTGAACTTCTCGAGACACATGATGAAACCAAGATACGCGTCCAGCAGGCCGTTCCTCCATATCCGTCCGTCGATCTCGGAGCTAACATCTGACCATTCTCGTCGTGAAGCGCTCGACTGCCAAGTCCAAGCGGGGAGCGAGAGAAGCGAAGATCCCCCCCCACCCCACGTTTGCACTGCTTGCAAGGGCAGCAAGGGTTGAGAGGCAACGCTGTCCACGGTCCTGTCGAACCTCTTCCATGGGGCAGAAAAAGTGCCCAAGGGCTGGAATCGTGATGCTAGCAAAGAGAAGGTCCGGAAAAACCCCTGAAATCCAACGCCTCCGAGTCCGAGCTGGACCCACAATTCTGCGAATGTCCTCCCGGGCCACGAATTTGCTAGTAGTCGGGTGCAGCGGCTGTCGTTCATTCGGTGAAGGCCTCACCTGGATCCTGGGATGCTCTTCGCATGAACTGCTTGAGCTCGTCGGGCCGAGGTGCCTCCCGTCGACCCTCAGGCCGTGGACGCTTTCATCGTGCGCTGCGGCCGGGGCGCCAGATCATGGGGTTTAGGGACTGAACGAGCAGATCACTGAACGGAGCTTTGCCGGCTCTTGCGTCTTTGGACTCGCCGGGACGTGGTTGCCTGGGACTGCGTGGCTGCCAGTTCCAGCTGAGGCCTCGACGCCTCGGCCCGGGAGATGTTGATGTCATGCCGACACGATTTCAGTGATCTGCGGCGGGGATGAGGATGGACTCATCTCCTAGCCTTATCAAGACTTATCGCGCGCATTTTGCACGCTCCCCAAGTTTCGTGAGCTGTAGCACTGCGTCGCAGGCCCCTCAGTGCTTGGGCAATGCAAACAACACCAGCAACAACAACAACGCATAATTGTGTTTTCAATTTTCGGTTGGACACTTCAGACCCTGGCGTGAGCCCTCCGTGCCACAGTGTGGAAACGCCTGGCCTTGCCCAAGAAGGTTTCAACGGATGGAGCGGGCGA